TTGGGCTTTGACCTGTTGGAGAGGATCCCCTGCTGACACGGTCAGTCTGACCCATTGAACGGCCTGAATACGATAAATGCCGCTTTATCCTGTCTTGAAAGGCACGAGATAGCACAGTCTAAATGCCTAGGCATGCTTAAATAGGCAACTCGGGATGTTTGAGTTGAGCGTGTTTGAAATCTGAGCTCTCTGACAGCCTGGGAGCTGCCACAGGTCACCTGCCTTGCTCCATGGGGACAGGCCCAGGTCTCACAAGAAATTGTCCGTAGACGAATTGTAGTACAAATTCCTTTCTTTGTTGGTTGGCCTCTTTCACTAGACCATGGCCTATAAAATTTTGTAAAAACAATTCTTAAATATTATTTGAAAGGGCAAATGGTCCACGCTGAAAGGTTTGACAGTTTGACGTATAGTACATGGTTTTGATCACTCAGAAACTGAAAAGTGTAGCCACGATTCTCCTCCTGATTGTTAGAAGCCTGGTGCTTCTTAAATAGTATCTTGTTGATGTGCAGTTCCTCTGCTCCTGGCCATCTGACAGCAAGGAGTCTGCTTCAGTGATCTTAAATCCTTTTAGGCTAATTTGTGAGAGAACAAGAAAAACAGCTAGCACCTTTGAATCCAGCATCCCCAAAGCACAGAACCAGGTATGGCCAATTAAGGTGCTGTTCGAATGCTCATATCAAGGGAGATCCCTTTAGAGCCCTCTGATAACATGAAGGCCAGTGCCTAGAGAGAGAAGAGTCTTGAGTTTCACTTCCATGAGAGGGAAAAAGAGATTTGAGAGGCTACAGTCTCATCAGAGCCAGGGGAAGTTGCAGGAAGTGGATTTCTGCATGAGAATGTTGCATACATGTAGCCTGTAAGTGTTTGGTGCCCGTTGGCTGCCTCTGCATAGCCAAAGGCCATTTTCAGGAGCCTCTGGCCCCTCAGTCACTGGCCTACTAGTTAATTGCCACATGGACTTCATGACACATGGGCAGATAATATGACATTTTCGGTTTCTGTCACTAGCAAACGCCACAACTAGTTGCTAAGAAGCTGTCAGAAACCATTAGCAGTTGGCTAAAGTCGCCCTATGGCATTTCCTCATAGCATCAGCAAAACGAGTATAAATCACCCACTGGAGCCTACTGCTATCCTAATGAGGCTGTAAGCTTGTTTATGGACTAGCATCATTTTTATGATTATTTCCACCTTTTCAGTTTGCCTTCATTTGGCGGCAGGAGAAGTCAGCGCCAGGAATGAAGTCACTGCTGACATTTTACAAATGCGGTTCAGAGCTGCTGCCGTGTGGTGTCGGTCGGTGGTTCTCCAAGTTTGTTTAGTGATCTTTAAAAAAAAAAAAAGGAAATCCACCGGAGACCTCATAGAGGTGACTATCAAATTGCAAGAGTGAATGGAAATGCTGAAGGTACAATTGACCATTTAGACTCTACTCTGATGTTAAGATGTCTTGAGATCAATTTTCAATTTTAAAAGGTGGAAGAGGTTAAACAATTTATTAAAATCTATGAAAGTGTTTGCTTTTAGAATCGTCTGTTTTATTATGCTCTGTTCCTTCCCCATCTTCTCCATTTCCCTAACTTGTGTCGGAAAGGAGCAGGGTTTATTGTTTTAGGCTTTTCTGAACATGCACCAGTATTTACACTGGATTGAAAGCATTTGCTTCCAATGAAAATCTTGTCTTAGATTACAACCCAGCAGTGTAATTTCCCTCCCAGATGGGAGTAAAGTAGCTGTATTTGCCTAAAAACAGTAGGAAGAACAAACTGTGCATTAAGCCAAGGCTGTTTTTGGCTTGAGCTAATGATGTAATAGAAACCTCCTATTCTGGAGAGGTCACTGCCAGGGACTGAAGGGGGTGATCTGGCTCTTGCTTGAAAGGTTTCGCCATTGTATCTACATAAGTCTTCACTTAAAAAATTCTGTTCCTAATGCTTCTGCTTTCAAACAGCAGAAATAAACAGGAAAGGTTCTGGTGAGTGTTACACAAGGAATGCAGAAAGCCTTCCTCTCCTAATGGAGTATATAATTCAGGTGCCCTCAAGGCAGGCTTTCAGGAATTCTTTTGCCTGAGGTAATGGGAAGCTAAGGCTGCTTTAAGGCCCTGATTATCTATTGATGCACAAAGCTGGAAAAAAGTCATCTCTGCTGGATTATAGTAGATATTTCCATAAATTATCAATGAATTCTCTTCTAGGCAGGCACTAGGCATTGCCTGCTAAATTAATCTGAAGGGGTTTCGAGATGGAAGGAAAGGGCTTTTTCTTTTCTTTCTTTTTTTTTTTTTTAAGGTGGAAAACAATCGGGGCAAAGTGAGAAAGAGTGCCATTAGCTTGGAAGCTTTTCATTTTTATATCATCAGTGATCCAGTAATATCCTTCCTTGCCTTGGTTACCTTCTGCAAATTGAAAGTTGATCAGCCCATTGAAATTTTAAATGCTGTTGAGTTGTTTTCTTTTCTCATGTTTCTTTAATGAATTGTTATTTTATATGGTGAATTGCTTCTCTGAATAAAAAGCCTCTTTAAATACTGGACTTTGAAAGAATTTATTAGGCAAATCCAAGGGGACTCGTCAGAAAGCAATTGGTTACGCAAATGACAAGTGTGGTAGGTTAGAAGTAGCTCTGGCCTAGGAATATGGGTGCCTTGTCCAGCACCCACACCAACAAGCTCTATGGAGGTCAGCATGACCTTGGACAAGTCGTAGAAGCAGCACTTTCCTCTCTGATGCAGTGAGGGCTTTAAAACTCTGGGTCTTCACAACCTTGATTTTGGAAAACTTTAATAAAATATACGAATTTTAAATAAAATTATACAGTTTAAACTAATAAAGTTTTCAACACAGAGAACTGCAACAAAAGTTTTGTATTTGTGGCATGTCAGCAATAATACTAGAAATGTTTAAATTAGTCTGTTCCTCTTCTAATAAAGTTTTTAAACTTTACTTCAAAAGCAAACCCAATGTCATCCAGTCAGGTCTGACTCATAGTGACCCTGTACAGAGTTTTCAAAACTGAAAATCTTTACTGGAGCAAACAGCCTCATCTTTCTCCCAAAGAGCAGCTGGTAGGTTCGAACCGCCAATCTTGTGATTAACAGTCCATTGATTATCCTACAGCATCACCAGGTTTCCTTTACTTCAACACTCCCAAAAACCAAAACCAATGAGTTGATTCCGACTCATCAGTCCCATATAGGGTCTCTGAGGCTGTAAATCTTCACGGGAGCAGATAGCCTCATCTTTCTGCAGCAAAGTGGCTGGTGGGTTTGACTGCTAACCTTGTGCTTAGTTGTTGTCAAGTGCCTTCGAGTCTATTCTGACCCATAGTGACCCTGTATAGGGTTTCCAAGGAGCAGCTGGTGAGCTTGAACCACCGACCTTGCAGTTCAAATGGCTTTGCAGTCTGGTGCATTAACCCACAGTGCCACAACCATGACTCCATATCTATCTACTATAGATTCGACTAAAAACTAAAATCAAGGTATCAAATTATTTTCATACGTAGGATCTAAATCACAAAAATAAGAAATAGAGAAATTCATGAAGCAGTGTAAGTAAACCTGAGACTAGTAGTTCCTGGTGGTGCAGTGGTTAAGTGGTGGTGCAGTGGTTAAGGTTGGTGGGTCACATCCAACCAGTCATTCATTCCTTGGGAGAAAGATCTGCCAATCTGCTTCCCTCAAGATTAAAGCCAAGAAAACCTTGTGAGACTTCTATTCTGTCACATGGGGATGCTATAAGTCCAGAATTAACTCTTGGGTACCTGACAACTGCAATTTCTAACGTACAACCACCAGGATGCTTGTTTTACCAAAGTTCAGCTTCTTTTGGCCATGTAGGTTGCACCCAGTGGCTTTATTTAGTACAGTGAATGTGCTCTGGGGTTCATTTGTTACCTCATTTCTGTGTCTCAAAACTATGTCTTATGCTTCTTTTGGGGATAAGATCAGCCTGCCCATTTCTGAAAACCAGTAGCAGCCACAGAGATCTGGGACAAGAAGTCTGATATTTTATAGCAGTCCGTTTAGGGCATTACTGCTTTCCTTTTTGAAATTTTGTACCACGACCAAAAATGGAATACAAATTCCATTTGTGCCTTATGACTTACTTTGGCTACTGTGACTTATATGGGCTGAAGTTGCATTTTTTTCTCATTTTTGATATTGTCATAAAAGTACTACAATGTTTTTTATTGTGTGTGTGTGTGTGTGTGTGTGTGTGATGAAGCCAACATATTTTCTAGTAAAAACAACTCGTACTTTATAAGATTCATTAGGAAAATTAAATGTGATATTCAAGAATATGTTAGTAGGTAATATTTTAAAGAGAAAAACTTAAATCTAAAGAAATTTTAGAAACTTTCTGAATATTAGTGTACTATAATTCTAGCTTACTCTTAATTGAACAATTCTTTATTTTACTTCAGCAATAATCTTTTTCTAAAAGAAATGATACCCTTTTTGAAGCATCCCATGTCAAACTATATCTATGATGGATTACCTATATTTTCATGGCCTACTTTAGTTTTAAGATAGTTTATTTGGGAAATAGTTGATATCTTAAATGAATGTTCTCACAAGTTGATGGGATTTGAATACCCAGGCAGGGACAACACCTCTGCTAATAGCTGCCAAGATATTTAACTCCCGAATAGGAGTTACACTTAATGTGTCTCAGCTCTATATGTTGGGATAATTACTATGACAACAAACGACTAAGGAGATGGTATGCTTCTCAATATTCCCTTTGACCTTTAGCACTGTTCTTAGGAAAAGTTCTTTAGAAACAACTTCTAATGAGCCTAGGCCTTGTTCTTTCTCGGTTTTGAAAAATAAGCAAACAACAACAATAAAACAAAATAAAAAACAGTACCAAAGAAACTCATTAATCATTTAAATTGCTCTTTTGGTTTTGTTTATATCCAAAGGCATTCTATTTGAATAAAGCATGTCAAGGTAGCATCAGTCAAAATTTGATTCACTATGTTTGCAGGTGATGGCTTGGACAACAGTGTAGCTTCCCCCAGCACAGGTGACGATGATGATCCAGATAAGGACAAAAAGCGTCACAAAAAGCGTGGCATCTTTCCCAAAGTAGCCACAAATATCATGAGAGCGTGGCTGTTCCAGCATCTAACAGTAAGTGGATTCTAAATGACATATGTAACCTAACTATGGACAATGAACCAGTTTTGCAAGAAAACAAAATGGAAAAAAAAAAAAAAGATCCCTCTGGAGTTGGAATATTTCATAAATCACTGAGCTCCTACAGTTTTTGCAAGTGTTGTGTGCTTGTTTTCAGATCCATGTGCCATTGAGGAGGTTTCTTTGAAGTTCACTATTTTAATTTTGTTAACTTTAGTAAGCGCTAAAGTTTAGAAATCCATGCACACTTGAGATTTTAAGTTTGCATATCAATAATGTTTCATTTCTAAGGGTGATTCATAAGGATTTAGAACCAGCACCCACAAAGAAAAAATTAGACATCTCCCCAGAAAGATTTAATAGCGTCCAATGCTTTAGTGGATCTTTATAGTCAATGGTCCACACACAAAAAATTGAATGTTGTTGCAATGGCAAGATGATGCTATTTGCTTTGAAATGGCTTGAATGCACTGGCTTCCGTCTCTGAGTCAGCACTCCACAGTGAAAGCTGCCCCTGTGTTTAGAACTGTAAAGGAAAACAGCAATATAGAGTCAGCTCTTCCTGTGTAGTCCCCTGTGACTTTTCAAGCAGAGTAACAGTTTATATTGTCTGTGTGAGTATTGCTGTTTTCACTGCAGGAATTCTCCTGGAGATGTGAGAAACTGGAGATTTGGGGCCTGAAGCCACAGGGGGATTTGTTTTGCTTGGTAATTGTTCTGAATGAATTTCATGTTCAAAATATTTATAATCATAATATTTTGGTGGATTTTTTTTATAAGTGTATACTGTTTTAATGATGTCTAAGGAAGAAGACAAAATGAAAATCTATGGGTAAAAAAATATTTTAGAATTCAGCAAAATGGTTGACTCAGAGGCCACATAATCTGAGGGGCAAAGGGTGAATTTAGACAGGTTGTAGTGTAGCCAATGCTAAGATGAATGAATGTTTAAAACTCTTGGCGACTTTTGTTTTTGTTTTTCCTTTTTTTAATGCCTGGTCAAACCTTTTATTTTTAGACTAGCTTGTTTTTTTTAATGTCATTTGTTTTCCTAAAAATAAACAAATTCTGTGTTGTCACAAACATATCCAGACCTGTTGACCCTCATACTCGTGTTCTAGTTTGAAAGCCATGCCTCTTAGTGAGTTATAAAAGTATAAGGAAAAAGATTCACACAATGTCTGAAGGCTACACTGGTTCTGTGCTTCCAGATAGAGGCTGTGCAATCCAATAACACCTGAAGGGTTAGATGAATCCAAAATTTCCAGCATCAGTGAATAAAATCAAAACTAACAGCAGCAGGAGTAACTTAAAAAAAAAAAAAGTAAAACTCATTCCGTTCTCCTTTCATCAAGCATTCAAAACTTAACTAGATCATGTAGATAGTTTATGAACAGACTTTAGGGATTGGCTAATGCCAGTAGGTTATTGAAGGGTTAGATTCTGCTTTGACTGTTCTGATTTTGACTTCCTATTAGATTTTCCGAAAATCACATTTGAGTGCTTTTTTAACACTTGTTACATGTATTCAGATATTTTGAATCTGCCCTATCTATGTAAGATTTTTATTAAGGATTATCAGCCACTGTTGATATGGAGCATGGGGCTATGGACAAGGATCTAGAAGGCACAACATGAAAAAATTATGTAGTATTTAAACATACATAGCATTGAAAATTACCAGGAATAAGAAGTGACAATTGGTTAAAGATACTGATGCAACCATGTTAACAACTCATCATCAGAGCTAACCAGCTAATCTGGTTTAAGAGTGGGCAGGATAGGTACAAAATCAAGTTGGCCCTGAAATCACAAACTATTTCCATTTCATATATTAATGGGGAAAACAGAGAAAGAGAAATAATGGATTTCTTCAGCTTCCATCTCAATCTGTAAAGAAGCTTTGGCTTTACTTGAAGCGGAAGTTCCCCTGAATAAAATATAATCAAATATTGACAGAATCAAGAGAAAATTTTATTCGTCCTCCAGATTTTCTGTTTTTCTAGGTCGTACCCTTGTAAAGAACCTTGTAGAGAGCTATACTATTTTCTTAGGAACAAAAACACTTTCAAATCATCTACACTGCCATGATTATATGGGAGCAATTGTAATAGACATTATTCACTAGCTGCCTCATCTCTTGTGACCTGGCTCATTTTCTTCACTTTTGGAGTCCTTGCTGGCCTACCCACTACCTTGAAGGGAAAGCCTGTTCTTCCATGTCTCCTGGCTTCCTATGAATGCCATTTGGCTCATGGTTACCATTGGGTATTTATACCCTTTCTATCCATTCCTTAAGGACTCCTAGTGTGGCGCTGTGGGTTAATGCACCCGACTGCAAAGTCATTTCAACTGCAAAGTCGGCGTTTCAAACTTACCAGCTGCTTCTCGGAAACCCTATGCAGGGTCTCTATGAGTCAGAACCTATTTGACAGCACTTAACAATAATCTACTTCTTACGGAGCCCTGTTGTCACTGTGGATAACCACCAGACTGCTAACCTCAAGGATGGCCGTTCAAACCCACCGTGGAGATAAAGATGAGACTTCCTGTTCTTGTAAAGATGTACAGACTTGGAAACCCTGTACAGGGTCACTGTGAGTCAGAACTGAGTCGATGGCAGTGGGTTTGGGTTGAATCCACTCCATAAAGAGCATTAGTAGAGCAGTGAATTAACTATTAAGCTGCTAACTGCATAGCTGGCAGTTCACACTTACCAGCTATTCCTTAGCAGAAAGATAAGGCTGTCTTCCACAATAAAGATTTATAGTCTCAAAGATCTAAGGAGCAATTCTACTCTGCTCTATGCACTTGCTATTAGTGGAGTGGGTTCAATGGCAGGGTTTGGTTTTGGCTAACCATTCTTGAGTAGTAGGAATAGTTAGCAAGTTTGGCTGGTAACCAATATACTGGTGATTTGAGTCCACTTAGAGGTGCCGCAAAAGGAAGGCCACACAATCTACTTCAGAAAAATCAATCTTTAAAGACCCAATAGACCACATTTTTTCTCTGACACACATGGAATCACGCTGAGTTGGAGTTGACTCCACAGCAACTGCTCTTAGTACCCAGTCCTCAGTACTTTCTGCCTCACAGACAAATACAGGCGTCTCCTGGGTTGTGACTGTTTCTTCTATACAACCCATAGTAAAGAACCAATATCTATGATATTAAAAATTCAAGGTATATATAATGGTTCATAATGACAAATCTGTGCTACTTTTTGACATAATAATGTTTTATTATTAACAATAATAAAACATCATTATTATTATGACTATATTATGTTAAAGATGGTTTTGTCTATCTGGAAGTGTTTTTTTTAAACCTTATACAGAGTCACTGTGAGTTTGAACCAACTTGATGGCATTTATCCATAGAAAGTTATACTATATGCCATAAGCATTGGACAAACTGACATTAGATACAATGCATTATAAAGTTATACTATATGCTATAAGGATTGGACAAACTAACATTAGATACAAACTGTGATTTATGTATACATTCAATTTAACAACAGATTTAGGGTTTACTTATTTGTAATCCAGGGAATTCCTGTTATGGTAATGGTAACCATCCCTGAAAATTCTAATTGCTCTCATTAGCAGCATCTAAAAAAACAAAGTAAGGAGATACATTTAAATTTATGATTGCATTGTCCCTTTCCTTTCCTCAGTGAGAAGCTTGCCCTTCCCTGCTTTCTAATTGCAAGAGCAAATTAATCTTTAGTTCTAAAGAAGCTTTCTTCTTCATTGTTTTGATACAGTCCTTGCAGAAATGCATGGACTCTTTTGGTCATATTTATAGGTAGGAGCTGTTTCTAATAAATTTCGTGGAAAAATGGGAAACAATAGAGTTTAAACAGACTCCTGATGTGGCGCTGTAGGATAAGCACTGGACTACAAACCACAAGATCGGCAGTTCAAACTTACCAGTTGCTCCTTGGGAACCTTATACTGAGTCACTGTGAGTTTGAACCAACTTGATGGCATTTAGTAACAGTAACATAGAGTTTAAAGAGAGTTTTGTTGTTTGTCCAAATATAGGTAATTACTGACATCTCAATATTAATCTTTTAGTAACTTTATTTCAAGCCCTAAGAGGTCTTCAGGGATGCAGAAGTCATTGGGAAGACTGGGTACCAATTTTAAACGATTACATTATTGCTGGATGATTAATGCAATTTGTTATCTAGAAAATCCTTTCTGAAATCTTGCTAAATGTAAAAGAACAATTGAAACTCTGGCTAATTAAAACAATAACAATAACAATTTATTAGGAAATTATAAACTAATCTTTTTTTAAGTGCCTGAAGGCATATTGTAAACCCTTACATACTTTTTTGAAAACAGATTGCTATTTTCTTTTTCTATTTTAAATAAATGGGTCAATTCTTTCATTGGTATTAGTCTCTTTAAAAAGAAAAAAAAAGTCTGCCTTTGAATGGGCCTTCAAGTATTTGTATGTTAGAGAAGCAGAATGGATCTGAATTTAAAACAACAACAACAAAACTTTCTGGACTGGATTTGCACCCTAGCTGCACGAGAAGAAAAATGTGTCATTCCATAGTTAGTCGCAGGTAGATTTAATCAGTAACACATTTTATTGCTCCAAAAAGAGAACTAAAGTCTCCTTCTTGGACTCACAAACTCCTAAAGCTACCCTGGACATACATGTGTATAATGAAAACAATAAAAGAAAAAGGAAACAGGTTTTAAACTTTGGTGACTATGGGGGGTAAAGGGAAATTTCAGTGATACAAATTTCTAGCTTTGGACTTTTTTTTTCTTTCATTTGGCAGTTTCAGTAAGTGGAGAAGGGCTCTTAAAAGAAACTGCTCCCTGAAACTACCAGAGTGACTGACATTATTTAGAAAATAAGAAAGAATTAGAAAGAAAGCAAAAGCATTTATTAATAGAAATGCTTGCATTTCCCTGAAGAAAAATGACTGCCAACAATTTTTTAAAGTACTTAAATTTGTGTATGAGTCA